ATCTTGGATGGTGCGGCGTCACAAGCAGAGATTCTGGTATAACATGGTATAACTAACAGTGTTGCTGCCTGTGAGGATTTCTTTGAGGATGATGTTGTAAATTGACAACATCTGAAGCTGCGAGTCAAACTCCCAGAGAAAAGAAGTGAAAAATCAACTTCAAGTCCCTCCAAAAGACTTGAGGTCAAACCACGAAAATGAATTGGAGCGGGAGCCTGCTCATGGAAAAAGGTGAAAGAAAACAGGAGTCTGCACGGCTTCTTAAAGCGGTCTTCGAGCAAGTAGTTCTATGTAGTTCTCATATTTGGATGGTCAAGAACCGAGTGCTCCTAGACGAACATGAAGGAAGAGAGGGATCAGGCAGCCAAAATAGACAAGCCACTAAGGCAGCTCGTTTAAGATTCCAGCGGGAAACATTTCGAGCATAGCTTGTCCTCAGGTGTCTTGGTGCGTTTGTCTTCTGTGCCGAGGCTCATGGATCTCAATGTATCCTGCTGCCTTCCTGTCCATCTCTCTGCTTCGTGGATGTCTGGAATCTTGGGAAATGTCTGGGGATATCCAAGGGAGGTTGACTGAGATGTTGTTTGCCACTGGTAGTGGGCGGTCTCACAGTTTACAAGGGTCGGTCATATTTTGAGCACCAAGGTGGTGCACAATAAACAGTGAGGCACTATTTGCTTTGAGATGAGAATAAGATTGGACCAATGAATCATCACATCTGCCGAAGTACCCGTAGAATGACTCACTCCCAGTACAGACCAAGCTGCAGCTTGTCAACCTCATACCGACCATCTCCCTTCCAGGCGATCCTCAAAGGATAAGCGGTGAAGGAAGAGCTGCCACAGATGGGAGGATCAACCCCGCATCGCCTTTTACAAAGCTTTTGCAAAGATGTCGTAGGCGAGTTTGTTCGACATGTAAACTAGGTCCGCCCTCCGCCAAAAGCATGATTTCCGGGCATCCATCCCCACAAGGAGGTGGAGTTCAGTGTTGCACAGGATGAGAAACCCATTCAATCATTCAATCAATTCAAAACTCGCCAGAACAAGAATAATGCCAGGGGAAATGTTCACGGAACTTGAAGAACTTGACGCACCACTGGTTACATGGTTAATATATCTTCTCTTTTCAATAGCGTGAAAATCCGATGGCGGCTCTCTCACCCCACACCCCAAAGACTGTCTTGCATGTAAGAAGTGCAGTAGCACCATGTCCAAACGGCAAAAAACAAGAAAAGCCTTTCAAACCTTTTTACAGAATGAAGGCTTGAAATGAGCAAGTGTCCACAGGGATCTCCACTGTCCACTCCTTGACTTGTGACTGTCGAATCCATCAAGAATGGAAACCAGGAAAGCTGCAGAAAGCCCAGAGCCAGTCCCAGTTACTTTCGGCTCAACAATCTCTGCAAAGGAACAGGTCCAAAGCTCTGTGCATGATCCTCTTCATAGAGGCCAACATTCCCGCGGCCTTCAACCTTCGGCAATCGGTCTCATCCTGGCGATTTGTGAGTTTGGGGATCTGAGTCTGATTGTGAGTCGTGACCTCAATCCTTTTCTGAAATGTGATGTTATTAGAATACTTGCCGAAATTATCTACTGAAAGGGCAGAAGTTCATTCATGGCTTCACTTCTTGTACACAGTCACTATCTCTCCGAGCTCTGAACAAAACTAAACGGCTGTCCTCGGTCCATTCGCGCACGTGCGCATCATCCAAGCCCATCCTCTCTACCAACCAATAACCTTATGGGTGAACTATGGTTTAGGCATCACGAACTGCTACTTAAAACGGAACTGCTGCGAACCATCTTCTCCCCCTAGCGACATTTGGGAATGAGCAAATCAAGGGATCTTTGACTGCAAAATCGGCAAATGAAAAGCTTCTAAAGCGGAGAAGGACCGTGGTTGCGCATAAACTGCCGATATGCAAGCGCATTTGCGGACTTGGTGTCCACCGAGATCACGTCAACAACAAAACTAGAGCCTTTGTCAAGAAGTGGTGTCAAGACCTCCAGTTCGGCGCCTTCCACATCAAGGCTCAACCAATCAATCCAGCCAGGAGCCTCTTGCTTGGAGAGAATAGATGGCAAAGTTTGACAGAGAATCCTGAGACTTCGATTTCTGCCTCTTCAGCTGGCACAAAGGAGCAGACCAACAATGCTGAAAACACGTGATAGCCATGTGATAACCCACGAGATCCACCAGCGAATCCATTTGCATGCTCTCACAATCAGGAGTGCATACTGCTGAAGCGTGTTCATGCTCTTTCTAGGTCACACTGTGTACAACCTTTTCACCCTAATGGATCAAACGAATACGTCTGCCTTAGGTGAAGCAACCCCGCGCAAAGGCTTTGGCCCGCGGTCCAACCCTGAAAAATTCCGGTCCTAAGTCCTAAGTGTCAGGTGCTGTCTGGGAAAAGCCATCTCTTTGGGCCAGATCACCGAGCCTCTGTGTGGTGCTGGCATTGTCCGTCTCCACAAACTGAAGAAAGCCAGTGTTGAGACCAGCCTCCACAACAGTCTGAATCCCCTCCTGGGCACTGATCATCTCAGACATCGGCAATGGTGGATACTGGCTTTTGGACCACCACCCCCCATCTCGAGGTTTCTACATATGTCTGATGGACTGTTATTTTCTCGCAGCGGGGGGGCACAACAAAATCCAAGAAATTTCGACTCAAGCATTCGCGATCAATGCAAAGCCGCATGCAGGAAAACCTCCTGCATGGTCACCAAAGGAGAAAGAGAGAGAGAGAGAGAGAGGAAAACAAGGCTCAGCTCCGGTTCAAAGCTTGGGGCAAGTTTATTTGGAGCTGTGCCAAATGTCTCCCACCAATCAGCATCAGAAAGCTTTGGGTCGGGAATCAGAAGAAACCAGTGAAGCCAAGGAACTTCTCTGGCTGCACAAGCTTGGATGCAAGTAGAGTGTGGCCTGTTCTTCTTACATTCCTCGTTCTGGAAGATATCGATCAGAATGCCAGACCAACCCTGGGCCATCTCCAATGCATAAGTGTTCGAATGCTCCTTGCCATCTCGGGCTCCCAGCTCGATATAAAAGCCTCTCTGTCGGTTCCTGAAGACAAACTGCACCAGCTTCCGATCTTGTTGGAACTGCGCGTTCCAAGGCAAATGCTGCCACGGATGGTGCTTCCGCCCAGCAGGCGCCGGCGAAGGCGGCAAACGGGCTCCTCCAATAGTACGTCACGGCAATATTTTTACAAAAACTAATCGATAGCCGGAAAGTCTGTCAAGTATCTTGTTCAATGGTCCGCTCAAAACATCGGTTCAGCAAACTTATCTACCCTCGTGTCGGTATTGGTGGTCTTTTCTTTTTCTCTTTTTTTAGCCCGGGTGGGTGTGTAGGCCGCTAGAAGAGGTAGCTATAGTTAAGTAGGAAGCTACTACCTAGGACGCAAAATAGCTCAAGCTGGCACTATTGATTTGGTTCCAAGATTGTTGGGGGAACTTAATGAATCAGCATTTTTTTGCAAGCGCTCGAGGGGTGCCCTGCACAACGGTCGAAATCCGTCTTAGTATCTTTGGCGCCTCCAGCATCTAGGATGTTGATCAGCGCCTGGAATCAGTGACAGGTGCAAGCTGCAAGGTCAGCCCCCAGTACTGTACTTCTGGTGTGTAGAAATAGATTGTTCGACAAAAGCTGATATCCAACGACCGGCACTCTGCGCAGTTTGGTGTTTTGTGGGCTCAGGAGTTCTGACATCAGTAGCAGTTCCAGTCAAACATTACTAGTTAGTTGAATAATTAGTTGAACAGCATTGTCCTTTCAGCAACTTGCCCCCCCAGGTTTCACGTGGCCAGGAAGCTTGCACATAAGGTCACCCCCACAAGGGTGGCCCCTTTCAAGAATCCAAAAAATCAGTTTCCCTGTGTTCCTAGAAATCTAGAAACCAAATTTTAGTGCCAGCGCTATCCTGCGTCCAGTAGGTAGTACCTTGAGTAGCCAGTAGTAGCTTGCTCGCTTACTTAATTAAGTAGGCGTCTACTGAATTAAGTAAGGGCGTGCAAAAAAATAAAATGGCGCCCAGGGCACGAGAGTTTTCCAGGCTGGCCACCATGCGAACATCTCCCATCAGCATGCACTCATGGCCAGCGCACAGTCGCTCGGACAAGCATTTGATTCAATCTGGTCGAAAAACCTTAGCGAAATCAAGATATGTCAAGATATAGTAAAACAGGTCGTCTAAGGGCCAACCGGTCTGTGCACTTGCATGGAATGAACATTCCGCTTCTGGCTGAGTTCCTTTTGTCCACGATCTAACCCGATGATTTAATTTAGCTGCGGGTTTTTGATGAACAACGCCCCCTTTTGAGCTCACCCATCAAAATGAGCTGAAGACGCTGCAAGGGCAAAAGTTCTGCTTCACGATGTTTCAATACTACACCGACTCTCCCAAAGCTTCCTAAACGTTGCAAATCCAAAACGGGTGACCGTCGACCACTATCTCAGACCCATCATGCAAAATGAACTTTGTGATTCAATCCGTGGCTTGCCCCATACATTCGACAGCAAGAACAGCAAACTTTGCTGGACATGCAGGGCCATGGCCCAGCAACCTATGCTGTGACCACCGCTCCTCCTGAGCAGCCACGATTCCTTGTGAACCTGGACAATCAGACGATGTACGGTCTGTTGCACACACGTCCCTCATGTTCCAAGGGCCTTGGGCTCTTCTTTAGATTTAGATAACTAGCGGTTCCTTGGTCCCAGGGTCAAATTATGTCAAAATCGTATGATAGAAAAGGTTGTGGGACAGCAACAGCAAACACAAAGGACAGGGGGGGAAGGAGAGCCAATACGGAAGGAGAAAAGGAACATGCAAATGTTTCGAGTACCTATAAGGACAGGCAAAGAAAGATTGCCCAAGTATGAAGACGACTTCGGGGCGACCAGTTCAAACATTTGCATTTTTGGTCTAAATCATACCTGCTGCCGAATGCAATACCAATCTGACTTTAGACTGGCGTCTTTCTTCCATGAGCTTATTCCAAGGGCTTCATTGTCCACCCTTTTGGCTCTTCTTTCGGCAGTGGCCTCTTGACCCGAGGTGCTTTGAAGAGCCAATGTTCAATAACCAAATAATCGAGATCTGGTATTGTGTCCAACATCTCCAAAGATTCACTCACAGTGTTCACAATGGGCTTTCCTCGCGAGTTGAAGCTGGTGTTGATCAATGCAGCCAAACCCGTGCGCTTCCCCACGGCTAACAGCAAGGAATGTACCCATGGCTCATCTGATTGGCTCACCGATTGGTGCCGGGCCGTGCCATCATAGTGAGCCAGTGCTGGGAAGCGCTTCTGGACAGCCTGGACCAAGTCTATATCATAGGCGTAGGCAAAAGGTATTGCACTGTATGTTCACCCTCTTCGACAAGCGATTCTACCAAAGTATTTGAAGCAAGTCTGTACAAATTTGCCGGGCGCTAGTGGTGTCTTGAAAGCATTTCTGAAGATAACCCAAACCGGGATGCATCAAACAAAGTGGTCATTGCACCGGCGTCGACGACGTCGACCGAAAATAGCATCTCGGATAAAGCCAACCCACGAGGCATACTTATGGTACTTACGCGATTGCTCGGTCTCAAACCCCGGGAACAAAAAGGTAGGGGTCAACTTAAAAACAACAAATAGGGATCAACAAAAAACAACTAGGGATCAAGAAGAACACAAAGAGGCATCAAGAAACAAGTTTGTTGCTACTACTACTACTACTGCTACTACTGCTACTACTACTACTACTAGTAGTAGTGTCTACTTATTTAAGATCCTCGTTTGTTTCTATTTTGATCCTCGTCTGTCCTTTAGTTTTATTGCAATTAGCCATATTTTGTTTTATTGTTGATCCCTGATTCTCTTGATGTTCTTGGTTTATTTTGTCTATGAGCCTTCTTTGGGTTCCTTTTGGCCCTGCATCTTTTTTTGACTGTTCCAAGTGTTTTGGTATTAGCAAGTAAAAGTCGCGCGGCGGAGCCGGAAATGGAAAAAAAAGAAGTAGTAGTAGTAATAGTAGTCGTAGTAGTAGTAGTAGTAGTAGTCGTAGTAGTAGTAGTAGTGGCGGTGGTAGCACTACTAGTAGGAGTAGGAGTAGGAGTAGGAGTATAGGAGGAGGAGTAGTAGTAGTCGTCGTCGTCGTCCTCGTCGTCATCGTAGTCGTAGTAGTCCTAGTAGTCGTGGTCGTAGTCGTAGTCGTTGTTTTAGTAGTAGTCGTGGTGGTGGTAGTAGTAGTTGTTGTTGTTGTAATAGTTGTTGTAGTAGCAGTAGCAGTAGCAGAAGTAGTAGTCGTCGTCGTTGTGGTGGTGGTGGTGGCAAAAGTGCTTTTGATGCCTCTTTGTGTTCTTCTTGACCCCTCGCTTTTTTTGTTGATCCCTATTTCCCCACCTGTCTGGTGAGGGTTGCTAGATTTATGTCAGCCCCATCTCCTCCTCCTCCTCCTTCTCCCTCTCCTCCTCCTCGTCCTCCTCCGCCGGACCTCAACCACGACCATCCACGCCCAGTGTTCCCTGCCGGAC